GTCAGTTTCCTCTCTACCATCTCTTCTCTCTCTGATCTCACCCCCTCTTTCTGCTAGAGCAGACAGGACCTTCCTGACTGTCCCTCAACTGACAATAAACATTCTCTTAACTTTTGACAGTGTTTAGTATAACTGTCAGTGATTAAGTCATATTCATGATAATTGTGATAATGTGATTATGAACTGAGCAGTGCATGAGAACAGATACATGTTTCCCACAATGTGCTATACATGATCACTACATGTGGCCTAGCTCATTAGGATTTGATGAATCTACGGTCCTTATTGTTTGACTATTCATCTCTTTGAGGTCATTGAGGTGAAATGCTACAGATAAGGTGCCTATAGTTGAATGCAGAAAACTATTTGGCTATAACTATGAGATATTACCACATGCAAACACAATAATGAACTTTACAATCATGGCAAACGATTAGTGACTATATTACTAACAAGGGAAATAAATTTGAAGATTAAAAACAACTAAGAACTTGAAATACTAAATTCTTTAATATCCGCATCACCATAAAGCTCTTCTTGTTCCATGTATCTCTTTTAATGATCACAAGCTATTTGAACAATATTAACTTCATTTTCTCTCACACGATACTTGTAACGTCTAGCCAGTATCACAAACACTATCAGTATGACAAGAACTAGTACACTCTTTGTTATATGATAATAGAAACTAGTACATATGTATTGACTCTCACAATTAAATAGAAACTTCAACATGGTACTAATGAAATTACCAAACCCTCTTGAAGTAGCATACCACAATCCAACCATCACTCCTCTCATGTGCACTGGAGACTGAGCTACTGTAAACTCCAGTGATACTGGATACAATAATATAAAAGAGAGTCCTTGGATGGTTTGTGGAATAAAAAGAAGTTTACCAATAATGTTCATGTTAGGATGAAACCCCTCAATAACAAATATGATCACTTTTGAAACTGTAACAATGAAAGCAAGGAAGATACCAACACTCATTCTAGTCAGCATACTGGGAATATACTTGTAGAAACAAACTCTGATAAAGAATAAATAAACTAACATTAGAATGACTGAGCAGAAAAAGTACTGAGAGTCTGTTACTGCTAAGCAGGTTGGTAAAATAAAATTATCAATGGCAGACCAGTATATAGAAGTCATCACAGAGAATAAAAACAACAATACCAATGAATAATGGTAGCATATGAAATACTGTCTTCACATCTTCTACCTCTTCCTCTGTGAATGGTTCACCATATTTATCCTTACCCAGGTCTAGTCTTGAAGGAGCCTCTTCCTCCCAGTAGGTCAGAGCACTACAATTTTCAAGATACTTGTGCTTCCTGGCATAGCAAAAAACTCTAACTATCAGTCTGATGGGATTCTTGATCAGTGATATGTTCTCCAGTTTGTGTTTGAAGAATGAATGAGACACGAATACAAGAGATACAGATACACCTGATGCAATAAAAGTGATCATATTGAAATACTTACTAAAAAATAAGCATTGAAGAAGGTAAAAAAAGAAGTGTACAAATGGTTCAGATAGTATATGCCAGTATATGACAGAATTGAGTTCATCAGCTGAAGCTCCAACAAGTTGATCAATGTTGTACTGAAATATGTTAGCGGTTTTAATTGGAAAAACCACAATAATGTAGAATAAAAACAAAACTGTATATGATCCACAAAACTTTTTCAGAGGCAATGTAGCTTTCAAATATGTATCCAATTTCTATTATAATTCATGATATAAAACACAATACTATACCAATCAGTATAGTTTCATATCTTCCAATCCATACATCAGCTATAAACAGACCAAATAAAGTAAAGAAGAATTAACCACTACAAACAATAATGACAAAACCATATTTGTACCAAGCGGCAGGAGCAACTTTTGTAGCCAATTGACCAGAGAAACGACTCAGTAACACATGTTGAATATACATGAAGTAGTCCCATACAAGTACCACAACTGCTGCAGGAGTAAGACAAAGGAAAAATTGCCATTTTCTTGTTGAAGTATGAGTAAAATGGATCACCATGATTATTGTTAAAAAGTATAATACAAACAAAATGAGATACATGTATTTTTCATTTGGTAAACAATTGCGTAGTGTCAATTATGTGTTTTCTTTAGAGAATTATACATTGAAAAGATAACATCAATTCATCTGAAGCACAACTTCATATGCCACACAAGAAAAAATATTTACTATCAATCACTTGAGGAGTCACTGTCTATGTCACTATACCAAGTAAACGTTATAACACCCCCGCTAGGGATACATTGCATTTGTATGACCGAGCCCGAGGGCCGCAGGCCCGAGGGCGAGGTCATACAAATGCAATGTATCCCGCAGTGGGGGTGTTATCAACATATTTGTGTAGTAATGAGTGGGCGTATCAAAGGTGCGCGCCAATGCGCATGCTCAGTAGCATCACACCTCGTGGTAAAATGGTAGCAATGGAGGACAGGAGGCTCACAAAAACGTACTTTTACTAACTGATTCAGGCTTTAGGTTGACATAATCTTACTATTTTTAGGCTATAATGTCTGGAAGAGGTCCAGAACAGAGATCCTGCGCTTGCTTACCGGCCATGTATCGATCTTACCTTCCCCGGCCATCTATATTTATTATTGGGCTTAGTCAACCATTGATTTCAACGCGGAAGGAGAGCAGTGAAACTCTACCTGCATGGATTATTGGTCTGTGAATCGACCTAAAGTTTCCTGCACTCCGGAGACTCACAATTGTTTTGACTTTGTACCCACTGTCCGGTTCCCTCGGGCCACTGGACCTAGGCCAGACTTTATTGCAAGCTTTATTGACAGTTGACTTTCAGCTTATAATACCTGTACAATAATGTTGTTTCTTATATTTTATTTTAAGAGATTTTTGCTGTCAACCCACAGGGATACAAATAAAACCACAGGGAGTGTTACAAATGAAAGCTGTGTTACATCACATTTGTAACCCCAGGCGGTGCCTTTGATACGCCCACTCACTATTATACAACAATATTTGTCTGTATTTCCTTCAGAAGTGGGGGTCTATAATCTGTTTTACATTAAAAACATATAGCTTTTATGTACTTGTGTTGCAACCAAAAGTACTGTAGAAACAAATGGGGATGGGAATACCTTGCCACATTATACCATATAGCCAGAAACTTTCAAAGGACTTAACTTTCATTGTCTTCGAGGTTTCTTTCAGATTCACAAAATTATAATCTGCAAAAATCTAGCTAATACAATACAAGGTAGTGGAATTCTTTGATTCACAAAAATTAAATCTACAAAAATGACTTTCGGGTGGATCTGCAAAAGTTTAATCTCTCAAAAGATTTCAGCTACATGCATATCTACTGTAAACATATGGCATCATTGCTGTCACTCCTCTCCCTTACTACTGCCTTCAGTGTATAAGTTTTATCAATGTTGGCATATCTATATGCACACAACACCTCCCAGACCTTCAGGTGTAGTTATAGGTTATGTTGATAAAATTAAGGAAGTGGCCCTTTTTAACATTCCAAACTGTTTTTCTAGAGGACATTAGTAAATGCAAGGTTACATTTGTATGTAGTGAAAGATGACATGATATGACAACCAAGGGCTGTATAGTACAGGATTTTTCAAAGAATTTTGGGATTTTATTAAAATGGCCATAGCTCCAAAAATTGAAGTCAAAATCAGTTCAAACTTTCTCATAAATACATCAATAAGTATCAAAAAATGTTATAAAATTGGGAATGATTTTGGAGGCCATTTTTCCAAAAAATTATAAGCTTTATAGCCTTTTTTCTGAAAGAGAACTAAGCCTTTAAAATAATTTTATATTTTTAAGGACAAATTGACAAAAGTTAATAATCAAAAACTAAATAGAAGAAATGCGGGCATAAGCAATGGCTCTTAGAAATCAGCTTTAGCTTTTTTTAAAGGCCATAGCTAAAAAATTTAGTCTCACTCTGCTCAAACTTTCCACAAGGACAGCAATATGTATCAGTAAATTTAATAAAAATTTGGGGTGATTTCAGAGACATTTTTGGAAAAAAACTATACCAAGTGCTTGGTAATTGCTAGTGATTTTTGAGGAGTAAAATTTTGGTGAATTGCTAAGTTTTTGACAATTGCATCGCAAATTTTAATTTGGCAAATTTATCACTATGTGCAACTGAGCTGAGCTTGTGCTTATATAAAATTGTCCATGACTGGTTTATTTTTGGCTAATGACTATTGAAGTGCCAAGTTTGCCAAAATTTCCTTCTCTAAAAATGACCAGCTACACAGTACCATATCGCAGATATATTTCATCTGGAAAAATGTTCGTTCTAAGCAGGATTATAAATTTTTGTTCATTTTATTTTCATTCTGAGCAGCCATTTTGTACATGTGGCATTAAGAAAATGCCTTTTTTGTTTGGAAAACATTCGTTCCATAAGTAATGAGAACAAAAAGAATGAAATTAACCTCTGACGGAATATACCCACCATACGGTATATAGTCTGAGTAGTGAATATTATATAATATGCTTGATTATCAGGAGCAGAATTAAAATAGATTATTTAAGAAGGTATAGAAGGAACAAGATAATACAAACTTGGAGTTTTTGGTTTGTCACAAAATATAAATAGCAAAATTTCTGCATCTTCATTGCCACATGGTGTAATTTGCAAGCTAATTACAAAAATTTATTTAATAATGCAGGATTTGTGACCTCCCATAGCATACAGAGAGTTAATCATAAATGTATAATAAGTATAATTTTTGCAACAAGGTACATTACCTATTATATATATCACACTGAGTGCTGTTAGGTGACATAGTGATACAGAAACAGAGTGGTATAATTGAAACAATTAGCAATATCTCATACAAAATACAAACATTTTAAAGTTAATCCCCCAGGCTACTATTAACTTAATTGGGGGAAACTTCATGGAAAGTAATTTAAAAAGCAATTGGATTAGTTAATTAGAAATTGGCATGGTAGAATTCATCATAATGTAGTGATGCTACCTGGAATAAGAATGAAATTGTTTCAATTTAAGTTGTAAATTATTTATCTCAATGATACTGCAATTACTAGGCAATCTGTTTGGCTTGGTATTGCCATTTTTATTTATAATTATAAAATAATATTAAAATTAAAAATGAAAAATAATCATATCAATAAACAACAAGTCGGCAATTATTCCAATCACAAACATACAATAATCCATCTTTATTAAATGTTAATCCATAAGGCACATTAAACTGATCAATATTACTGCCTTTACTTCCAAACATACTAACAAACACACCATCACTAGTGAATACTGATATACGATAATTATCCCATTCACTAACATACACTAGACCAGTAGCTGCAGTGTCTATTGTTATACCGAATGGACCATTAAGCTGTCCAGGATCAGATCCTCTACTACCAAACTGATCCACAAACTTTCCATCTGGTGAGAACTTTTGAATGCGATGATTCCAACCATCAACAACATACACTAATCCTTGACTGTCAATAGCAATATCCCCCGGAGACTTAAATTGTCCATTAGCTGATCCTCTACTACCAAATGAGTGAGAGAAGGTTAGATCAGGATTCAAAACTTGTATACGATGATTACCATTATCAACAACATAAACCTGACCTGTTATAGGAGAAATGGCTATGCCACTAGGTGTATTGAATTGTAGTGGTCCACTGCCCTTCTCACCAACTGATGCTATATGGTATCCATCCATGCTTATCTTATGGATCCTGTTATGATCAGACACAAGAATGAATTTATCTGAAGTAATGGCTACACCACGAGGAGTAGAAAACTTGACATTACCACTTCTTCCTTTCCCTCCAAATGATTTTATTTTCTTTCCTTCTCTATCTAGTACTGTTATACAATGAACACCACACTCAGTTATTATAACTTGATTATCATCACTTACAGCAACTCCCCAGGGATTTGTAAGCTCAGTTATAGTATGTACTGGAGTGATGTTATCAAGATAAGGATCAAAAGGGACAGTTAGCAAGGTATCCTCAAGTTGTATATCATATACTTGCACTTTTACTGTATAAGCACCATGTATTGAAGGGTTACATTGTATCCTATACACTCCAGGGTCAGTGCTGGTGGTAGTGACTATAGTGTGAATGGGTTGATCACCTTTACTAACTGGTACCAGACTACACCTGAGAGAAGGGAGGGGAACAAGCAAAAGAGTTGAATCTGGTGCCTCAATAGATAGTGAAAACGAAACTGCTTCACTAAAATGATTAATCTCTTTCACTCTACACTGCTGTAGTGCAGTAGTCCCTGAAATAATATCTCCAATGTGATGTAGCGATATGATACCTTTACTTAATACAAAGTCAGCTTTTTCCTTTATATGCAACTCCTCCACATTGATCTGTGCAGTAACTTTATTAAGTCGACTCATACGCTCCATCATCTGTCTTTTAGACATCAAGACCTGTTGAAGGCTGTCTGTCTGCAGACTCTGTTCCACATCATTCTCAACATCCTCCAGTAGAGTCAAGCTCATTTCTGCTGATTTCATCTGATCTGACAGCACCTTTAGTTTATCATCAATGACTCTCTTTGCCTGCTCAGTTAGTTTCCTCTCTGACTGACGAAGAACATTGATCATTTCTTCAGCCATTTTCTGTATTTCTTCTATAACTTTTTCTCCTCTCTCTCTGATCTCACCCTCTCTCTCTCCTAGAGCAGACAAGAACTTCTTGAGTGCTTCTTTCTTTGCCTCAACTGGTGATAGACATTCTTTTAACTTTTGACAGTGCTTAGTATAACTATCTGTAATTAAGTCATATTCATGATGTTTGTGATTCCGAACTGAGCAGTGAGAACAGATTACTGCATCACATGTTTCACAAAAGAACTCTAAAGGCTTGCCATGATCACTACAAGTTAATACTTGAGGATTTGGTAAATCTGCTGTCTTCTTTGTCAGACTATACATATCTTTGAGGTCGTTGAGGTGAAATGCTACAGGGAAAAATGCTAATCCTTCTTCTGGTAACTCTGTACAATGACGACAAGTGGGACAAGAGAGGTAAAAGGTCTCGTTCTTCTTATCCAGAGGTAATCCCTCCAGACAGTGCTGACAGAATGAATGTAGACAAGGTAATGTCTTAGGGTTGGTATAGTAGTCAAGACACACAGGACAGGTGAGTCGCTCCTCCAGTTTCAGTCTGAGACCTGAAGATGGTTTGGTTGCCATTTGAAGAATAAAATTATGTACGTAAAGTAAGAACAAAAAATGAAAAGACTAAGGTTGAAAATGATAAAGGAAAATAAAACAAGAACAACCAATAAAAAATGAAGTCTGAATAAGAAGAATGAGAGCAGCCAGCAGAAAGACAGCCCTAATGGCTTCAGGGAATATGTCAAGTCACTACAGGAAGTTATAACAACAAGTACAAGTAGTATAAACAGAGAGTAGTGGAGGAGGGACGGTCTTAATGACCAGACTACAACTTATGACTACTAATGTGTCTGCAGGTGCCACATACATGTAGTACAGTTTGTCAGCTATTAGCAAAAAATATTTCATAAAATTAATAACTAGAAGGATATAAAACATTAAAAGGGGATCAGCTCCTGAGCCATGCTACTGCAGCTGTCATGTCCAGAAATTGCAATGGGACTTCCGGTCGCGTTAATTTAATGATATTCATTGGAATTACTATAGCAACGGCAGTTCAGCAATGGTGGATTGATAGGAAGCTTCACTACAAAGCTTGCTAACGTCTTTCTGGTACATGGATGGGACTTCACTAGATACTTGAGGCTTCTAGAATGCTAATTAATGCAATTGGTTATGGTAGTTTTCTCATATTCTTTTGTTAAAGTGGCAAGCGTGGTGAAAGAACAGGCTCTTCTCAACAAACGGCCGTCTTACTTCAAAAAGGTCTAGAGACACTATTTGCTTGTATATATAAGATGTTAAGCACTCTTTCTTTCACTTTATTATTCCTAAGAGAAGAGGAAAGCACTTGTGACTTGTTGACTCTTGCTGCTGCATCCGTCATCATTGAAATGGCTAAAATTACTTCACTTTCAGGAGACAAATGTTCCAAACAAAGTTTTGAATTTCTTTATCTTTTTTGCATCATTGGGTAGTAAGAATTTTGTACTTTCACAAAATAAGTGAGCAAATTGTCAAAAATTGTTTGAAATTTAGATATAACCATTCAAAAAGTAAAAAAAATTATCATACATACATAAAGGAATGACAAGATAGCGGCAATGACTGCCTCATCTTCAATTGGTAAATGTTCCACACAAAGTTACTCCAAATGCTGTAATATTTAGCAGGAACACAGGTAGATGGATGAAGAACAGCTACTGAAGTGCGCAAATTGATGATTCTTATTGTAAAGAAAGATATAGCCTAGTAAATGGAAATGTCCATTCCTGCCCTGTATAAAGTCAATCAGTGGTATACAGAGATAATTACTCAGTATACTACTCCGTGTCCACTCATTTCTGGACATGTGCTGTATGACCTTCTTTGATGCTAGAGAAGTTTTTAGACAGCATTTGAGTCTTAAAGGGTAACTAGTCCGGTGTATTTTTAATGAATTTTTTTATTGGCTTAATATGATTGCCTGACCATAATAATGATGTATTCCAATTCCCATTGTCTAAAAAAATTTTTTCACTGAGATATGAGCCTTCAAAGATGCTCATTTTTATTACTTCCTGTCGGTGGGTGTGGCTAAAGCGTGACGT